GTGTGTGCGTTGCGCAGCCTGACAGGTTACATTAAAAAATTGCTGATCTCAATCTGTCATGCCATTTGGACTAAGATACATGTAGTAAAGTTATGAAAGATGAGAGGAGCCCCTTTATGCAGCATAGTGTCATGGTTGCACTTTGATGACAGATGTGGCTGGTACTGTAGGTAGCTGCAATACATTTTGATTGATGTCATTAAGTGTCGTGCAGGTATTTTTTATATTCTAAGTGCTTGTTTGGAAGGTCTGATGTTGTTAGAAATAGCTATTAAATGAACAAATATAACTCAAACACTAATCTGACATACAGTTTCCTTGCTAGCGCACGTGCGCTGCCAGAAGATGCCCATCAACTCTCCTCGTCCTCTGGTCCAGCCCAGTCCCTGCCTGATGTGGGATGTCCCACACCTGAAGCTGGTGGAGGAGTTGTGACAGGTATGTCCGAGTCTCACATTTTCTCTAGAGTAATTGACAGCTTCTAACAAGTGAGAACTTATCTTTTACCCACACTTATCTCCTCCAGCAATTTTGCATAAATGCCCGTTGTCAGCTTATAATGTGTTTCAGTTGGGAAATCACTGAGTGACAATGCATTGGTGAGGAGGACTAAATATGTTGTTAAATTCAGTGCTCATGTTTTCAAAGCAATACACAGGCTCTGGAATTTTGACTGCTTAAGATCAGTCATGGTTTTGATTCATCATCTTCCACTTTTCTACTAAAAGGGATTGATTTTATAACACTCTGAGTCAACATCCCAAAATTATATTTTGGCCTGGGTGTCAAGGGGATATTCCTCACTGCAAAATGGGCTGAAAGTGGGAAATTGGGAGTCAGAGGGACACAAAAAAGAGTGGAAAGCAGGGATCATCAATTAATAGGTATGTGAATATTTGATGATGTTGGGGCTGCTTTACAAGATAGTTAAAGGACATATGGAAGTAATTAAAAGGCACCCAGCAAATATAAATGCAGATGTTCTTTATTGATAAAAATGGGAGTGAAAAATTGTTTTAGAAAATTGGAGGTGAGAGTGGGAAATTCTTTTCATTTGGATGTCACTGCCCAGTGGCCACCCATACTGGTAATTTTTAGGACACTGGTCTGAGTGCTGATCCAATAAGCTCTGTATAGTCTATCATCCATGTGCCTTTTTTATCTTTATCATGTATGATGCAGCATGATTTGAATGTGTTGAGTAAGCTAAATCAGTTTACAAAGTTGAAAAACTCGGATAATTTTTATTTGTATTTTATTTGCCATTTTCTGCTTAATGAGCTGCAGTGCAGCTTTTTCTGTATCTGGTTTGGTCAGATATTAGAGTTAATAATATTCATACCGAGAGACCGTGCGCCGCTTGGTCTCCATATAGACGCGTGAGCAGAAAAGGCAATTTTGCCTACTCCCCACTGAAACCAAGCGCTAATACTTGGCAAGGCTATAGAACTCCAGGTAAGGACACCAGCCGTTTGACCTTGAACGCCGCCGACCGGCCGATGACGTCATTGGAGGCAAGCCGGCTCGGCGGACACAGAAGGCGAATGCATAACGGAGGGGCGTTGGAACGTTGCGGGAGCCGGGGAGATATTTTAATGTGGTTGCATACCACCATTGTTATGTTGATTGATCTACAGACTGCATTCTTTTAAACCTCGATGCATCCTAGGCGTGGATGGTGCGTACCTACATTCGTGGAACGATCACCCCGTCCGACGTCCGTGGTCGAAGCTGTCATAGTATTAAAGACACTAAGACGGGTGCAATAACGGCGATCCGATCCCGTCTCTGGCGAATCTAGAGGGGTCGTAAGGACCCCGGCCGAATCTGACCGTCCATTTTTAGGGAAACGGGGTGGGTGAATTGACAACCGATGGCTTAAGAGATGATGAGAAGGGATCCCGTCGTCGATTGTTGTTTGACAGACAACACATGTTGTACCGGGCGTATGACCATCAGAGGTAATGCCTGAACGTAGGCAAGCATAATTATTCTGTCATGCTGTTTAGGAATATAAAATGGTAATGGAGATCATTGAGGATATGATGTCTACATTACGGGAATTCACTAATTACTACGGCCCATAGGGGCACCGCCGGAGCTGTTGTTTTGCCATCGGTCCCAGGCAACTCCAGGGAGCTGCAGTACCCGGCGGCCAAAGCGGCCACCTCGTCGACTCGCAGGTCCTGTGGGATTCCGTGATGCTTTAGTGCTTCACCCACAGAAGCACGGGCATAGCAGTAGGATGTGGGGCTAGGTGTCTGTCCACCTCTTCGTATACAGCGCCTGGTCCCGCCGAAGCTCGGTATCGACCGTGACTTATTCACAACTGGCGGATCCAGGAAGCGGTCTTGGACACTGCTGGGGCTTACCCCAAAAAGATTTCTCGGAATTAATTTAAAAATTTGGATTTCGATTCCTTGCGCACTGCTGTGCAGTGTGATTAACCAACATTTCCTCAGAAAAGTTGTGAAGTTTTCTTTTATTCTCGAAAAGCGATTTCGGGCGCTGCCAATGTGGGGGAAGACATTTGCCCCAAATGCCTTCCCCTGGATCCGCCAGTGGGTTGCCCCATTCCGAGCTTGACTAAAAACGTCTTCAAACCCCACCAGAAACCGATGGTAAGGTGAATTTAAATCCAATAACTCATCTCTGTCTGCCCGCCTAAATATACAACACATGGTACGGCACCCGGCCCTGTCTGACCAGAGCCGATCGTGATATTTTCGGCTTTCCCCATCCCAAGCTCGATTAGAAACGTTCTCCTTTCCCACCCGATTGCTGATGTCAATTCAAATTCAATACCTCATCTCTGTCTGCCCGACCATAACTCATTCATTGCACACCGTTCAGCGCCCGGCCCCGCCAGAAGTATCCTAGCGCGCTGAGCAGTTGCCTCCAGCCGCGTCATCGCGAGGCCCCGCGCGGCCCATAAATTAATACATTGCGCGAATAGCCGTGTCGCCCCCCTGATACTTGGTAGCGCAGGTAGCAACGTGCAACGGTGCAGTAGAGCATGACCCTGTCCACACTAGCAGATCCGACCCAAACGAGCGCCATTACCTGACGGCGTCGGGTAGCGGCGTGCCGTGTAACAGGGCCCGGCACGGCAGTCGTGAGAGATGTGCTCGTCGCCGACCGCTGGCGTGTCTGCTACCCTGCCGTGACATTGCCCGTGTTGCCCGCCGCCCCCAGCCCCGCCTACCTAGACATTAGTTTGTTATGTCTGCATATTTACGTAGCGAATGAATTATGAACCTCCGGTCCCAAATGTATCGTAACAGTGCGTATTTTACGTTGTTTTTAAACAATAAGATGTGAGTGTGTGCCCACACCTCATCGTAAATGGTTTACCTCTGCAACAGATGGCAACATGCGACATGTTGGCCGCGGGGTATTTATCTACGACACTACATTTTACAGTTATGAGACTCCGTCCTTCAAACAACTGTTTCCTTTCTATCCGATTCACAGATCCGTCAACCACACCACCTCTGCTGCAATCCTGTTCCGGAGAGCGCTCCATCCCTCCGGATACGGCGGCTCCTGTCGCTCCCAGCTCCGGAGAGCGCTCCATCCCTCCGGATACAGCGGCTCCTGTCGCTGGCTGTTCCGGAGAGCGCTCCGTCCCTCCGGATACGGCGGCTCCTGTCGCTCCCAGTTCCGGAGAGCGCTCCATCCCTCCGGATACGGCGGCTCCTGTCGCTGGCTGTTCCGGAGAGCGCTCCATCCCTCCGGAGACGGAGCCTTACGCTGGCTGTTCCGGAGAGCGCTCCGTCCCTTCGGATACGGCGGCTCCTGTCGCTGGCTGTTCCGGAGAGCGCTCCATCCCTCCGGATACGGCGGCTCCTGTCGCTCCCAGTTCCGGAGAGCGCTCCATCCCTCCGGATACGGCGGCTCCTGTCGCTGGCTGTTCCGGAGAGCGCTCCGTCACTCCGGATACGGCGGCTCCTGTCGCTGGCTGTTCCGGAGAGCGCTCCGTCCCTCCGGAGACGGCGGCTCCTGTCGCTGGCTGTTCCGGAGAGCGCTCCGTCCCTCCGGAGACGGCGGCTCCTGTCGCTGGCTGTTCCGGAGAGCGCTCCGTCCCTCCGGAGACGGCGGCTCCTGTCGCTGGCTGTTCCGGAGAGCGCTCCGTCCCTCCGGATACGGCGGCTCCTGTCGCTGGCTGTTCCGGAGAGCGCTCCATCCCTCCGGAGACGGAGCCTAACGCTGGCTGTTCCTCTGAGACGGCTGCCGTCGCCGGTGATGACCTGCCAAACGACTTTGGGCACATGATTGGGAAGCAGCTAAGTGACGAGCAGAAGTTGGCTGGTTTGACGAAGAGATGGCGGCCTTCTGGCAAAAGTGAATGCCCCGTCTCTTTCCACAACAAGGGTGGAGTCCGTCGCCCGCGATATCTCCTGCCTCACCATCTCCAGAATTACAGCTGGCTGGCAGTGTCCCGCAAAGCTGATTGTTCGGGTGCCTGGTGCAGTGTCTGCGTTCTGTTTGGCGAGAATGTGAACGAGGGGGAAGGTGCGCGGGGTGGCCACGGATCCTCGAAAGGGAAGCTGGTCAGTCGGCCACTGACAGACTTCTCGGACCTGTCGGGAAAAAATGGGGCTCTGGACGTACACGCGCGGTCTGCGTCGCACAGCCTGAACGCGGCAAGGGCAGCGGAGTTCATCACTCGAATGCAAAAACCCCAACTGAAGATCTCATCGGTGATCGAGACAGCCACCAAAAAGGAAATAGAGCGAAACAGGTCTTCTCTGAGCGCAATTGTAGATACAGTCATGCTTGCAGCTTCTCAAAACGTGCCACTGCGTGGCCACCGGGATGAGGGCAAGATTAACACCGATGGCATTCCGCCAGCTGAAAATGATGGCAACTTCCGGGCTCTCCTTCGATTCCGCCTTCGAAGTGGAGACCTCGAGCTGAAAAGGCACCTTGAAGAATGCCCTGACAACGCAAAATACATCAGTAATCGCGTTCAAAATGAAATACTGGATGACGTGAAGATGCTGGTGCAGGAAGAAATCGTTAAGAAAGTCAACAAGAGTGGGATGTGGACAATCATGGCCGATGAAACCACAGACATGGCGAACCGCGAACAGATGGTATTGGTCGTCCGGTACGTCGATGCAACTGACGACGGATTCGTGATCAGAGAGGATCCCATCGCCCTGATGGACGTGATGACCACACTCCGACAGTCTTCCGATGCGACCGAGATCAAGCTCTCAGGAGCTAACCTGGCCAAAGTTCTTGTGGGAAAGGTTGAGAACCTGCGTCTTGATATGTCAAAGCTGGTGGGCCAGTGCTACGACGGCGCAGCGTCGATGTCGAGTGAAAAAGTCGGCGTCGCGGCCTGCGTAAAAGAAAAGGCCCCTCTGGCGGACTACTTCCATTGCGCAGTTCACGCAGTCAACCTTTCAACGTCGCTCATCAGGAAAGTGGCTGTCGTGAGGAACGGACTGGATGCCATGGAGGCAGCCATCACCTTCCTAACGGACGGTGCCAAGAGGGGCGATCTCATCCAGGCGATGCGCAAGGAAGCTCTGGGTGATGCCTGTCAACAAAAGCTGGTAAAGCTGTGTCACACACGGTTTGTTGAGCGCCACCTCGCCGTTCAGCGCTTTTGTGAACAGCTGCCGGCCATCAACCGTGCCCTCGAAGCGATGGCGACCTGGGACGACAGCCGGTCCAGCTCAAAAGCGACGCTGGTCCTGAACACCATCTCGAAGACAGAGTTCCTTGTGGGTGTGTTCATCGCAGAACGCCTCGCCGGGATACTGAAACCCCTGGCTGCCTCCCTCCAAGAACAAGGAGCTGATCTGATGAAGGCTCTCGACCTGATCGACGCCGTGAAGCATGTCATAAAAGAGCAACGGCAATCCAGTGAAGAACAGTTCACTTCTGTGATGGAACGAGTCGAATCGGCAGCTCAAGAGCTGCATGTGGAGCTGAAAAAGCCGCGTCTCGTGAGCAGATCGGCGCACAGGGGAAATACCGGTGACGATGATGATAGCGTCACTGAGTACTACCGTCTCAACGCATTCATCCCAGCCCTTGACTACGTGCTCCAGGATCTCGAGCTGCGCTTTGGGAAACATGTCAACCTGGTGGCAGGGCTGGGCGTCCTCATCCCAAGGCGGCTGGCGAGGAGCGGTGCTGAATGGAAGCTGCTGCAGCCAGCACACGCCAAGCTCCAGCAGCTCCTAGAGGGTGTGACAGAGTCTCAGCTAGAGGCTGAGCTTCGAGTGTGGGAAGCCATGTGGAAGAGCAGGCCAGAGGCCCCAGGGACGGCAATCGGGGCGCTGAATGAGTGCCCGGTGACCGTCTTCCCTGGCATTCACGCTCTTCTGCGGGTGCTGGCAGTGCTCCCCGTCTCCACCGCAGAAGCAGAAAGAACGTTCTCAAAAGTGACTCGGACCCTCACTGCTCTGAGGGCGAGCATGCGTGAAGAGCGCCTCGAGGCGCTGGTGCTCATTCAGACACACCGGGACCTGCTCCCAGACTACGGCAAGGTGGTCGACCGGTTCGCCGCTGCAGGGTCTCGGCGACTCAACTTCCTGCTGCGCCTGTAGATCCATACGGACAAAACCACGCTCTACGCATCTGAAGTCACATTTCATCGCTACCAAGGAAAAGTTTCAAGATGGTGTGTGCTAACCCTAGTCGCACTGCTTAAAATAAAAACAAGAAACATACCAATTATTTGTTGTTTTTCCTGGTAAACGATGCATTTGTGTACCTTGCATAATGCTTTTAATGTTTAAACAGGGAGAAATTGAATGGTGGGGGTGGTAGCAGCAGCGGTAGTAACGGCGCCGGCAGACTTTTTATGCCTGCTTTTTTAACTTGGATCTCCAAAAGCAGTGAATCGCAAAGCCTCCGTTCTTAGCACACCTAATCACATATCGTTCATCGCGTATCTTTCTCCATTTCTATTCATTCGATGGAAGAATAAAAAACTTATGCCTTATGACTCTGCATCCTGCATTTAACCCTCGCCCGCACATGGGGGGGGGGGGGGGGTGGTTGCCACCCCCCCCCCCCAGGTAGTCTTTCTGCTCTGCACTCAACATTTTTAGAGCTAGAAAGCTGATTTTTCGTATAGCTGCTCCTCTATCCTTTCTTGACGTCCACTGAAAATTTCAAGTTTGTGATTTTTGGTTTCGGAGATATGACCTTGTTTTTCAGGTCATGTCATGACCCAAATGACCAATTCTCAACATCTTGCGTTTGCCATGGGCCTTGTGAGCTTTTGACACCCTGATTTCGGCCTTTTTTGCCAGTCTTACCTCCCACCTATCATGGAACATGTTGTTCGACGATGTACAGGGGTCAAGGTCAGGGTCAAGGTCAACCTAGGTCATCTAAGATAATTGCGTTTTAGGCAAGCTGAATTTACTTTTTGTGAAGTTTTTTGACTGCATTTTTGGTAAAAGCTTCTCAGATCATGATTTCATGTAATATGGACCCAAAAACAATCGGTGCACACATCAGTATACACACAGACACACACAGACATACAAACACATATAATTGACCTTGACCTAACTTGACCTGAAATGACCTCAGCAGCAAAATTCTGGTCGAGTAGTGTGACAAAGAGGTTCTAGCTGGCTTGGCACCAGAAAACAGCATCGTCATCGGTATTTGATAAGCAGCGCACTTGATATCCAACGGTGACCCAAAACAGCAACATTTTTTAGTTTGACCTGACCTGGAAGGTCAATGAATGACCTGAGAAGGTAAAACTGGGTATCATTGGATTCGTCTCTTCCCAAAGAATCTTTTTTGTCTTTACCGCTAAGCTCTATCTCCAACAGGAACGAAATGGCGCGGGGGGGTGGCAACCCCCCCCCCCCCATGTGCGTTCTAGGATGGGAAAATGGCATGTGCGGGCGAGGGTTAAGGGTCATGTGAGGTACTGGAAAGGTGATAAACATCTTGTTTTCAGCGATCACATTTGAATGAAATGTGTTATACGTATTTTGAACACTGACCGAGCAATACCTCTTACGACCTGCTTCTGACGACACTAAGCTTCTCTATTGGTTCCTATACAGCTATCTGATGACCAACGCCTGCCAGTAAGGCCCCACATCGGTCTTTGAGGGTCCAGGCTAACGGCCTCGCTGACGGCTTCACAATGTGTCCGAGGATTGAGGGCTACATCGGCCCCTATAAACCTCGTGAAGGCCTACACCCGTCATTGAGCCCTCCACACTGGCAGCTGAAGTTCCAGCTGTTGTCTTCAAGTGCCTCTTGTCGTTCTTAGCCTTAGACTGGAGAGCTTTAAATTGGCATCTAAAACATTTTTGATCAGTTTATTTTTTTTCTAGTTAACCATTCAATATACCTTGGTAGAAAGCAATGGCATCTTCGGACCCGTCGACTTAGGCCCTCTTGACAATGCTGAGAAGGCCTTCTGCATCCCCCTGGTTTGTGCCTTTGGACTTTGGCCCCACCTTTCTCTCTGGGCTGCGACCGCCAGTGTACGCCGTAGAAGATCGGCTGGGTTTCGTGAAAAATGGTAGAGGAATTGTCGATAGATAATTCATCGATCTATCATTTGAGACTAAGAACCATTGATTCCTTCAAAGGTTGACCGAGATATCGCTCGCCGAAAACAGGCCATTTAACATGTAAACCCTATGGGCTGGTAGGAAATGTACGCCGTGGAGCAGCAGTGCTACCAACTAACTTCGGCGGGGGCCGGGTTCAAGACCTTCCACTGAGACCATGTGACCAAGAAAACGAATGCGACGCCGACAGGGGACCACCTTGGAGCTCTTCACCGTCAAACCTGCCTGTTTCGGTCGTTGTAAGACAGCCTGTAACAGTGACAAATGCTCGACTATCGTGGTGCCTCCCACAATAATATCGTCAAGTACGCGGTCACGCCGTGTCCGAGCAGACCGCGCAACACCTCGGTCATCAGACGTGAGAAACAGCCCGGAGCTCCCTTGGCCCCAAATGGCATAACCAGAAATTCCCACTTATCCTCAGTCAGAATTGTCAGGTTATTCTCAGTGAGAAAAAGTGATGCTGGCACATCACTAGAGACCGGTTAGTAGGGTGCCGTGCGCAAGTCAGTTGGAGGTACCCCCTCGCAATTTCGCACGTGCAAGGCCCACCCTCTCGCTCGCTCAGTTAGTCGCCCCAAAACTCGTTATACTGGTCTATATACTAGTTATATATGGCCTTGGTGCTAGTCGATGGTTCACAGTACTGTTCCCAAAAGGAGCAGCCTGCTCCTTTTGGGAACAGTACTGTGAACCATGGAGCAGGACACAGTTTGTTTGAGGTATGTCGACAGCAACCTCCCCGTGCACGAGGAATTTGTTGGCTCTAATGAGACTTCAGATAACGTCACATCGGAAAAATCAATCGCATACATGGTAAAGGATACCTACACTTATCCCGCTGGACCTTCCCACAGGAAAGTTTAGAGGAATGGGCTTCGACGGGATTTCCAACATGTCTGGCATCTACAACGGAGCTCAAGTATTGCTAAGGCCTAAGAGGACAGCCCCTAGCAGTGTATGTGCATTGTGAGGTGGCGTGAACGGCGTGAACGAGGTTTCACAAGATGCGATGCTTCACCAAAAATATTTGTAAAAGCGCTGATTGCGCAGAACGCGCGTTTCAGAAAATGCTGCCGCGATGTGAACACGTTGGGTCAGCGGGGACGGGGAGGGCGTACGTCGTGTGTGAAAGGGACGTTTGGCGTATCTGATATGTGAAGTATGCAATATGCATGTATGGGTGATGTGAGCGGTGCCTCGATATAAGCACGGAGTACTTTTTCCGTGCCTTTGCATCACCCTGAGTGTATATCCTGTTTATGACTGCTTTTCGCAATACATGGTGATGATGATGATGCTTCTGAAGCTTCCAGTATCTTCCGCAATCCCCTCCATACCGTGCATGACGTGGATGTCCTATTCAAAGACTCCACCCGGTTCAGGACAGCGTTCGAAGCTGTGGCATCAGCCACATACGCTCATGGGAGGCGCGACTCCAACGGCTCTGCACAACAAGATGGCCCATCAGGTTGCAGGCGGTCGAAGGAGTACTGACACAGGACACCCAAGGCCGTATAAGAGAGGTAAAATCATCCCGCAATTTCCAATGGACCGGTCGCTAAGCATTAGCGTGACGTCACTGGTGGATACCGCGCGGCGCCCGGCTCCAAGCCGTACGTCGGGTACATTTGGCACTTTATCGTTGCTATTACTGAACGTAACGACAACTAATGACTCTTAATAACTTTTTTACCCACCTAAAGCTGATTTCCTTGCCGATACATTGCCGACCCGAGCCCCAGGGTTGACAATCTTGGGATATATGGGTCGGATGGGCGACCTCGCGACGGGAGAAGGAACGATTGCAATTGTTGTGTCCCGCACCGCCGATTGCATCCTCTATCTGCAACCGGAGGGGGGGGGGGCAGGGGGCACATACCCCATCGGATCAGGGGGCCTCTCGGGCCCGAGGGGCCCTGCGACGCCAATTGGCGGCTGAGGGTCCACGCTGGCATTTTCGACTCAGACGGGCCCCACAGTGCTCGAAAGAACACCTTATGTGCTCTGAATAGCCACACAATAGCCACACTTCTCTCCATAAGAGCCACACACCGGCTTTTTATTGTTCCTTGTCGGCATTTGAGGGCCCCTTGCCGGCCTCTCAGGGCCCATTGGCGACCTCTGAGGGCTACTTGCCGGCCTCTTGAGGGCCCTTACCGGCCTATCAGGGACCAGCAGCTCTAAGGGTTCCACACACGCCTGTGATGACCCCCTAAACCAATGGTTGAAGGCCCCCACCATGGCGCCTGCGAGGGCCCTCAACGGCGGCTGTGAAAGCCCCAAAGCGGTGCCCAGCTGAGGGCCCCACACTGCCACCTCTGAGTTCAACCGACACCCCTGAATGAAGTTCCAAAGTAGAGTTGCAAAGTTTTCCCCAAAGGCTGCTACCGGCACCGCCCCGCCCCACAAAAATTTTCTGGGATACCGGCAAGCTACTACGCCCCAAGCAAAAAAAAAACCGCCAAATTACCGGCATACTACAAAACCTGCATTCTTGATTCTAGCTTACCCCTGCAAGAGATGCCACCTTTTGGCAGTTTCAGTAGTCAGTACCCCTCCCACCCAACATCCATCCATCGTCCAACCACAAATACCAGCAGGCTGATTTTGGCTGAGTTGACCCCACAAATACCCACAATTTTGAAACTCAATTCCAGTCTTTAACTGTTAAAATATCATCTGTAATCAAAGAAGTATTGCCAACAAAAAACTATTACATTCATCAAAAAGGTGAGGACAAAAAGGACTTGAATTACTGAAATGTGTTTTTGAAGACTGGACAGTGAGAAGTAATCACATTTACATTTCACAGGTGTTCTACTTTTCCATATTCTCCTAAAATGTTGCAGGCACCAGCCAATGTTTAAAATCTAGATGGTCAAAACATAGGTAAACAGGTACAGATTCGGCCATCTTCCTAACTGAGGAAGCGAGATCAACATCTACTTTTTCCTATCCACTATGGCTTGCTGGTTCGTGAATAAGATACG